TATACCTAGGAGTGAGACCACTAGCTCATATGAGTAATTCTATGTTTTGAGGAACTGCCAAACTGTTTTCCAAAGAGGTTGCCCCATTTTATAGTCCTACCAGCAACATAGGAGGGTTCTAATCGCTCCACATCGTCACCAATGCCTGTTACTGTCTTTCAACTACAGCCAGCCTAGTGAGCGAGGTGGTGATTTACACCTTCCTAATGAGTCATGTACACATCTACTCTTAAACATAAGAAAACATACTTGGGAATGCTTTTTCTGGAAGGTTCAAAGACCAATGTTCAATGTTAAACATAAGAAAACATACTTGGGAATGCTTTTTCTGGAAGGTTCAAAGACCAATGAAATTCATAATTTCATTTTAATTAAAATTCTATAAACAATTTAAAAAAAATGAAAGAACATGCCAAATTCTTAAATACCATAAACTTAAGCAATTATGACACAGGAAATAAAAGCTACCTCCCAGTCCAATGCTTTATACTTAACATAAACTCAAATATATATGAAAACAGACCAACATCACAATATTATGAACTAACCTGTGTGTGGCAATTCAGCAAAGAACAGCACTTTATCATTCGTTTTATTACCTACAAAAACAAAATTCGGATTATTTTTAAAAACTAGTCAATGTCAGTTGTAACAAACGCAGCACTCTGAGGATGTACACATGCGTGAGGACAGGAAGTTTGTGAGAACTGTTTTTCACTCAATTTGGCTGTGAATCTAAAGCTGCTCTAAAAAAACAGAATTTTTTATTTAAAAACTTGGCTACTAAAAAATTTCAAATCTTATTTCAAAAGCCATTATTATAAGTTTTGAAAAATGCCACTTATTAAATTATGATACTGGTGACCCAAACCAGAGAAAAGAGCAATGCCTATAGAAAGAAATGGAACAAAACTGAGATTTAGGAGGTACAGTCATTTGAGATTTGGGCAGTAGAATCAATATGCCTGGAAGGCTGAGTGATGCTGGTGGGAGGGTCAGTAAAGAAAAGAGGATGACCCTCAGGGTTTGTGCTTGATTATCTCAAAGGGTTAAACAAATGACTCCCATTCTCTCTGTTTTGGTATGCAAAGAAGGTTATAAGAGGGGAGAATGGGAGAGTACGACACTGAATCAGTTTCGGACAGGCTGGGTTTGAAGTGTTCTGGGGAAATCAAAGCGCCAGTGGTCTGTGGGCCCTGGAAATACAGAGAGCAATCTGGTCCAGAGCAATCAATTCGGGAGTTACCACCACATACAAGGAAATGAACAGACTCACACAAAAAGGGGCCCAGGAAGAATACTCAAAGGTAAAGAAGAAGAAGGCAAGCCCACAAAAGCAACTTACCTGGTCTGTATAAACATCCGGGGGCACAGCCTTATTAAAGAAATCAGAGCACACAGCTCCGGCCTGGAGGTAATAGTGAAGAGCTGCCGAATACTGATTTGTCGCTTGAAGAAGGAAACAGAAGTGAGGAATTACCTATCCCAGCACACAGCCAGAAAAACGGGGCCTCTTTTGTGAAGGTACTATTTCATGTCTGACAAAAGCAGATTCAAGCCACGGACCTAGAGATAACACTTAGCTAGGACAACACTGAGAAAAACTGCCTTCATTACTATTTTTTAAAGGAATTCTTTCTTTTTGTTTGTTTCGTCTTTTTTTTGGAGGCGGGGCAATTAGGTAATTAGGTTTTACTTGTTTATTTTTTAATGAAGGATTAAACCCAGGACCTCTTGCATGCTAAGCATGCACTCTACCACTGAGCTATAACCTCCCCGGAAAAATTGCCTTTATTTTTAAACCACTTTAAAGATGTCATATAATAGCTTCTTTCCTTCTAAAACTGATTAGCCAAGAATTTAGCTCAGCTCTCTCAGCAAACTTACTAGCACAGAACTCAGTATTTGGAGGTATTTATTTCCCAAATGCCCATACTAGAAACACATCTTAATTTTCCAAGGTAATTTAGAAACAGTAAAAATCAATTCTGAATAAAGATATTAAGATCCTGATAATAAAATCTTTGGGAGACTGGGGTGAAAATGAGCATTAAAACTGTCAATTATTTGCTTCAAAAATAATCCGGGAGAGAGCGGGACGATGCAGGTGAGGGTACAGGTGAAATGAGACTGACCACAAGTTGCTCTAAAAGGCGGGTGGCAACAAACCATTACATAGAAAATAAATAAGCCACAAAAGTGTATTTTACAACATGGAATAGAGCCAATATTTTGCAGTAACTATTAATATAATATAGCCTTTAAAAATTGTGAATCACTATGTTGTACACCTGTAACTGCTGTAATGTACACAGGCCATATTTTGATTTTTAAAAATGAAATAAACAAAAATAAAAATGACTTAAGGCTGCTTGCAATAAGTCACTTATTAAAAAAAAAAAGCTGGTGGCAGATACATGGGGGTTCATTATATCATTCTTATCATTTTGAACTTTCTCTTTTAAAAAATCAACTCCTAAAAAAACTGATCCAGGAATGATACCAGTCAGAACTTTTACCTAATCTGTATAGTAACAAATATTAGATATTTCATATCACATTGGAAAATCTATCACATTTAACC